CTGGCCCTGCCCCTGGGGTGCACTGAGACAGCAATTGAGACTGGGTGTGATGGCGCGTGCCTGTAATCCCAGCTCTTGGGAGGCTGTAAACAGGAGGATCACTACAACTCTGATCTAGTAGTAAGACTCTGAACACCCTGTAGACCCTTCCTAAAATACAAAAAAAAAAAAAAAAGAAAAGTGGTTCTTGCATTTATTTTATGAGAGTGATGACTACTATCACCAAACTGCCTCTCAATTTATTTTCTGTCTTTGAAATTATTGTTACTTTGCCTGTTAAGAGAAAAAATTTTAGTTCACATTTAATCAAATAGTTGTTCTTTAACTTGTCATCAGTTTTTGACTTCATTTTTTATTCCATAGCAACACTTTATGGATAGCAGAATACCCTGCTTAATTATTGCTGCAAAATCAGACCTGCATGAAGTAAAACAAGAATATAGTATCTCACCTGCTGATTTCTGCAGGAAACACAAAATGCCTCCACCTCAAGCCTTCACTTGCAATACTGCTGACGCACCCAGTAAGGATATCTTTGTTAAACTGACAACAATGGCCATGTACCCGTAAGTACCTACTCTGGCTTCACTTTGATGCTGCATGGTTCCTGATAACATTGCATGCCATTACTAGCCATGAGGGAGGAATCTTGTCATATAAAAGTTGTTCAGCAACAGAAAGAGACTTTGTAATGAGAAGACACAAATTTAAACATTATTTTGGTTTGGGTGCCATAACGAAACAATATAAACATTGCTTCTGACAATATTTGTATATTTTTGAGCTGCCTGTACCTCTCAACGGGAAAATAGAACAAAGCACAGCCTCCCATCCAGCATTAAAAGGTAAATCTTGAGCTGGTCGTGTTGTGCATGCTTGTAATCCCAGCACTCGGGAGGCTGAGGCAGAAGGATCACTGTGAGTTAGAAGCTAGCATGGTCTACATAAGTGAGTTCAAGGCTACCCTGAACTACAAGGCCCTGTCTCAAAAAATCAAAAAACAAAACACACAAAAAAATGCCTACTGCAATAAAATAGGGTTGGCATCATGTTACTTTATTCTTATAAGGCATTTCCATACACAAAATTCTTTTTTGTATTTCTCTGTTGATTAATTGATCTAGGGTATATGGAAGCTTAAAATCACTTTTAAAAAAATCTATATTTTATGTTTGAATTCATGATCTAGGAAGTCTTTAAGCATTAAAAAAATTACTTGTAATTGGAATTCCACTATATATACATGTTTTGCATTGTTATAAATTACAAATTTCGTGTACATTTATTATATATCTATACATGTGTATCATATAACTGGATATCTTTGTAGTTTACTAACTGCTTTAAAATTGCATGATTCTTAATGGCATTTTACTCAAGTAGAGTGTTTGTGTAAGTTCTGTTTTGTAACGTAAGTTTTTCAGGCAGTGCGTTTCTTAAGACTTAATAGCTTATTCTGTTTATTATTAGGTTAGTCTCTAAAATATTTTTTGTCATGAAAACTATAGTATAAAATAAAAGAATTGAACATTGCTATAAATCAAGACAGTTTTTCCAGAAAGGTGTGTAATTTGTACAGATTTTTAAAATCAAGAGTTAATCTCAACTGTTACTCACATAACTAATGCTTTAAAAAATACAACAAATCTTTGAATTTTTATATGTATTGGAAGACAAGTCATTCCTATTAATATAAGCAAAACCTTATTTATGTTTTACCTCTGCTTTAAAACTCTCATGTATGTTATCTACAGAGAGGATCATTACAGAGACAGACTCTCCCGAGACATGGGCAGCACTGATAGAATAGAGAATTTGAGAAAAATCTGGGTCTTTCTAAAAACTGCTTTGTAAGTTACTTTTTCTTTATGACTTCTGTGGGATTTTGTTACATTTTCTTCTAGGATGACCAAGTCTTTCTTGCTATAATTAACATTTAATAATTATCTAGAAACGCACTGCTTGGTCAGGCTTATTGCCTAACTGTATATTATGGTGTCTTTTAATGATATAAATGTACTTTTTAATCTGCAACTGTGTTTTTAGATCCACATCTTTAAAACATTTTACCGTAATTCTTGTGTGTGTATATATGATAAATGTACATACATGGATACTTGTTCATATGGTTAATCCCAAACTACTTCTCATGAAACATCTCCCTGTTGCTAAGCATACTTTGCATCTCTCCTTTTTGGTGGGTGGAGCCTTGTGTGTGTTAAAGAGTCAGATTCAATTTATAAAATAACAGATGGATTCCAGTATGACAGCTGGTAGTACTTTAGTAGCAATGATTTGTTCACCATCAGAAGTCAGGTTTTAAAAAGAAATGTCTTGAGCATTAATTCTCAAAATTAATTCTTGTTTTTCTTCATGCTGGGAATTAGGCATTATTGGGATGCTGCTAATCTCCACAACCATGCTACAGTGTGCTGTGGTCTCATCAGATCTCACAAGCTAATGCAAGTCAGATTGGGCCAGTCCTTTGACTGAGAAACCTGTAAATATGATCAGGTGTTACAGGAAGTGATGGCATTGCTTCATAAGGTGGCGCTCTTTTGCGTGGGTTCTGAGCCAGTACCTCTTCATGGGTGGTGTGATGGCTTTGTATGTCCGAGTGGTTCTGACCACTGAGCAATCATTGGTAGTTAGGGACTAGGTGAAATGGGTTGCCCTTGTCTCTGCCCCAACTAGTGCAACTCCACTCAACCAGAAAGGAGTCAGAAAGCCTCCCTAAATTGCCCATCTAATTTCAATTGGATCCATTTTTTACTTTTACATCTTTATCTAGAGTTTCATACTGTCATTCTTAGCTGCTGTGTTTTGGTAGCAGATGAAATTAACTCTGTATTTTGTTTGAGTGGAAATGGATGAAGCACTTTGATTTCCTTTGGGAACCAGAGTGCTTGATGAATTCAAGGTGATATTGTTCATAACTTATTTGAATATACTTGTCTTTTGACTTTCTTGTACTTGTTACTCTTCTCCTTCCTGGTTTTCGGGCATGTGTGTATGCTGAGGGAGGAGGAGGGGTGGTTATTTAAATGCTAGCAAATCTTGTCCTTTTGGTGGGTGCTATGGCTTACTCAATTTTTATTTTTATTAATTTAGATGAGGGTGCCATCTATTGCTGTGCATATTTATTCCACTGAAATGTATATAATAATAATTCCATCCCCCCTCCAAAAAAGAAAAATCAAAAGTGTTAGATAATTTTCCCTAGATTCTCTATAGGGAGGGAGGAGGAAACTATTACTGTTTATTACATTTTTGGTAAATGTGGAATTCTGCACAACTTTAGCATGCCCCACACTGTCTTTTTCCTTTCTTCAAAGAGTGTTGCATATGCCTAAATCTTTTTTTTTTTTTTTTTTTAAGTTGGCACACCCTATCCTGTGCCGTATTTATAAGTAAGAACTCAATCCTGTCCTTCTGTGTGTTTTCGCAGCCATGCCCGGTTACGCTGTATGTGCACCTGCAACAGGTGTACATTTTGCATCTGTCAGAACTTCCTCAACTCAGACTTGCTGCAATCTGTAAAGAACAAAATCTTCACTGCAGTTCTTAACAGGTTCTTAACTTTATTTACTGGGTACCAGGCATTCTGTTAAAATACAAAAGAAAAAAATGGATACCTATATATTCTACAGATACTACAAAGACAAGCCAACTGATGCCTAACTAACTTCCCTAAAATTCTCACTGTGATGATGACTTAGTTTTGGAAGCATCCTTTATGTTTGTAAATTAATAGGTGTATTTTCAGGACTATAAAATAAGATTTTAGATTTGTTTCCAATAGAAAATTTAAATTATCTCTCAGAAGATAATACATGTAGGGAGATTAAAATTTTTGGTTATGAATTGTAGAAATAGATTAGAACATTTGTAGTAAGGAAAAGATACATCGATCCTTTCACCAAAAAAAGATGTTATGGTATACTGTACTCACTTTATGTACAAATGTATCTTAGTAAATCCATACTAATGTGAACAGTATTTTGGATTTGAAAAATTTCTTTATTCTTGCAAGCATTTGTTAGAAATTAATTAGAATCTGTTTTGACTTTTTAAAACGTGGAGGCCCAGGCATGGCGGTACACACTTGTAATCCCAATACTCAGGAAGCTGAGGCAGGAGGGTCTATATGAATTCAAAGTCAAGTCGAACTTAGTGATACATAGTGATACCCTGTCTTTAAAAAAAAAAAAAGGAACATTTTATTTGGAAGAATTGTTTCTGGAAATGAGGATAATAACCGATGTTATGAACTCTCAGAAATAGGAAAAGAAGAAAAGATCTGAGCTGGGTGTGGTGCCATGTGCCTATAATCCCATCACTTTGCAAGGATCATGAGTTTAAGACCATCCTGGACAATTTAGCAAGACCTTGACTCATAATTTAGAAAGGGCAGAGGATATAACTCAGTGCAAAGGCGCTGAGTTAAATTCCCAATTACACACACACACACACACACACACACACACACACACACACACACCCTGTACTCCTGATTTTTTGAGGTCTTAAAAACTGAGGCAAGGGCTGGCCAGATAGCTCAGTGGATGAAAGTACCTGCTTAGGCAGATGCAGGGACTGGGATTCAGTCCCCAGCGTGCTGTGCCAACCCCATCCCAGGGCTTGCTGAGACAGCAGTTGAGACTGGGTGTGGTGTCGCGCGCCTGGAATCCCAGCACTGGAGAGACTGAAAATGGGAGGATCACTACGAGTGGGGTCTACGTAGTGAGATATGTAGGCCCTGTACTAACTACACTTTAAAAAAAAATGAGGCAAAACATGAAATATTCCTATAAAGCTATATGCTTCTTGAAAAGAGAAGAAAAGA